CGGCTATCATGGCCACGAAATTGACCAGGTTCGCGCGCTTTCACACATGCGTCCTCGATGCATTGAGGAGTCGAGCTACGCGGTTTTGTGTGCCAATGCCATGTCTCATTCTTCATCGTAGGTTTGTGCAGTGGGACAGACACAGCTCTGCACCCTCGGCTTAAGGTTGGGAACCTCTCTTCACTCAATGACAGTTCCTCGTTCAAACTATCGTTTGTGTCGATGCAAAAAACGAAGAAACCTTCGTGTGATCCATCAAATGAATTAATTCTGTACTTCTCTTTCTTTTTTTCAAAATTCTGACTTTGGTCACGTTTCTCAACTCCGTAGTATTCCGTCTCGGTGTAGTACCGGATCATAATCATGCCATACATGCCATCCGTGGGATGTCGGTTTTCTGCCTCTCATTTTGAAACCCATCAGTGCCGTCAACAACTGCCCATCAGTCACTCTGGCTTTTATCGTAAACTTTTAACTTCTGTATGCCTTCTCTTATTGCCAGTGATTTTAGCCTAATTAGCACTTTTTATTAATAACTCTGATTTCGGAAAGTTTAGAAAACAGCTTCGATCGATTTTCTTAATAAGCCTTTGGTTGTACCGCTTTCATGTACAACTTTGTGGATTTCGTTCTGGACAATTACAGTGAGTGATCGGTTCAGACGGGTAATTGCTAAGGCGTCGTGGTTACCAGCCCCCTATCTAGGAGTCAGCTTAAACTTTTCCGTTTTTTTTTACTTACAGTTGTTTGATTTTCCAACTTTATGTTGGAGCACAAAGGTGGTGTGCATTTTGGCTGCATTATTGACGCAAGAGTGTTTGTGGGGGGGGGGGCGTCGGACGCGCTGGTGTTTCTATGCCGTTTATTGTGTATGTTAATTTGATGCTTTGTTTACGTCGGGCGTGCGCGCGAACAGATGTGTATTTCATCGCACGACCACAGGCGGATATATAAATCATCGGCACAAAGTCCCACATTTCGAATCCGCATTAAGCAGCCGCACACCTGCCCTCCCACATCAAGCCCCTAATTGAATCGTCTCGGATTGGGGCTAATGCAGGCGCGCTCCCACAACACCCAAGTCATGTTCACACACAAAAACAAAGCGACATTTTCGTTACAACAATGTGCCCCTCCATCTTTCAATGCGGGAGGCCTTTTCTTCTCCCGGCCCCCATTTGTGACCGTTTCTTGTCATCTTTATCTAGTGCGAATGGATTTTCGCAATAAAGTAGGACAGTCCCCTGCATGAAGACTTCCCAATTCTTGGATAAGCCAAGACAAGTTTTTGTAGACTTGCTCAGATGCAATTTTTAATGTTACAAGTGCGTTATTTCGAAGACTTGGGTTTAAAGTGAGCGTGAACACACCGAATTCACGCGGGCGAGCTGAAAGTTGTGGATTCCTTGATATTCCGTGGTTTATTTATCAGTATAGCAAAAGGTCGCAGACACCCAACTTTCCCACGAATTTTTTTGTTTGACTAGTTGTGGGCGTCTCTAATTATCAAATTGCCAGACTCACTATACCTAGCGTTGCACGAAAACGTGTGAACGGGTCGGGTTTTTGTCACACTGTGGGTTGCCGCAGTCTACCACCCGGTATGAAGTCATCATCAAACTACCATCGAAACCATCTCGATGGCAATCACCTGCTAAGTGTCGGATAACCTCGGCGCGGGCACTTGTTTGGCTTCTTTTGGCCTAATAATCCTTTCCGTCCAGATTTTGCACATGCTTGGTGTCCTCGTATCTACCCGAAAACTATCTGCGAGGCCTGGCAAAGCGGCCGAATGCTCGCCTCGCCTTGTGTTGAAAATCCACGACGACGCGTCTTGGATTTTCTCACAACAATCGTGGCTTCCGTATCAGAGCATGAAGCAGCAGCAGCAGCGGCTCTACCCTTTGTGTGAATCAAACGTGTGTGCTTGTGTGTTCGTATCGAATCACCGTACCCGTTGTTTTTTTGTTTACGCGTTCGATGCGTGTGTGTGTTCACGCAGGCTGGTGTGTGCCGCTGTGACCGCAGCCGCCCCACCACCACCGCTACCAGTTCAACTCAGTGGTCGCCTGCGGTCATGTGTTTTCACCTAATTTACTATGACAAAAGCTTGCTTAGCGTGTTGGCGCAGTCTGCATAACCTGAATGCTGACATTTTTAAAACGGGACACCCTTTTTAATACTTAATTTTTATTGCGAAACGGCCCCGTGTGCACGTCACATTCCCCGCAGTGCATCCTTGGTGCTAGTAAATGCATTTTTGAACTCGTTTTTAACACGTCTCCCACGACTTTACGAGTCACTGGTCTGGATCTACCAAAAGATGGCTATGGTGGTCCCCTTTGCGCCCTATAACACTTTAAGGGGGCATTCACGTGTGTCCAAAGTAAAATCGGCACCTGTTCCTTTCCCATCAGATGGCCCAGTTAAACTCCTATTCATTTTGAAATCTGAGATTCGGCATATTTGGTTTGATGATGTTAGTGGGATTCATCTGACGTTTGGATTCGGAGAAGCGCATGCCCGACAAAGTTGGCTTCACCGCATCAGAATTTTAAATGAAGAAGACTCTTTGAACAAAATCCAGGGGCTTCTGTATCCTTTACTTTTTATTTAATTAAGCTCTCCTCGTTGCAGGCTACTCGTGTTTTACTTGCAGTAAACCGACCTTGGTAAAATATATCGTAGTCTTGCCAGCGACCAATGGCCGCTGAGAAAGGTTGAAGTGGACTGGAACACCCTTTGCACAACTTGGACCATCTCTAGTGTAGCCTTTTTTACCCATGGGTGGTGCACATCTAATGCATGTTTTACTTCTACAAAAGTATTTTATTTCTTCTTGGTAGGTGGCCGAGTTTATGCCCAGCTTCATTCTTCACTACCAGCGAGAGGACGGAGGTCCGTGGTACGAGCACAGGACACGAACTTCGGAAAGGGTAAGCCCTTGTTCATAACGGCCCTTCCAAAGGCAGTGAAAGACACTGATGCCTTCATCACTCCGATGCTCATTTGACGTGCATGGTCTTTTGAGCGTGCTCATTTGTACAAGCCAACATTCCTGAGTCTAGGTGTTCGCTCCAAGCCCGTCTCGTTGTTAGGTCGGTATATCGTATATTAAATCATGCTACATTCGGTAGTCAAAACACCCTACCCGCAAGTCCTGGTACGAGGCTGTTGACGTTACATGGCGCCCCCTTCCCTTTATGGTGCTGACCCGTTTGCGGGACGCCTCGTACACGCACACACACGTGCACATTTGGGTGGCTCTCATGTTCCACGAACAGTCTACCCTGATATACACCACCTCCCCTCGTGTTCCAGTATTCGTAGTTTGTGTTTCCTGCTGGGTTGGTTTTCAATTCCAGCTTCACCGATCGTATCTCCAGATTAATGTGGTTGCTTGTTCAGTGCCCCACGTCACCACGATACTCCCAGTTCCGTTCTTCGAACTCACTGCACTCACACTGGCCCATTGAAGTCTTACACACTCTACTGTTGTCGAATTTTTGGGTCAAAACTAATGACACGAGTTGTGTGTGTGTGTGTGTGTGTGTTTGCGTAAGGCTGAATTTGTACCATTTGTGATAAACTACTTCCGAATGCGTGATTTACAACGTGCTCTAACCTTTGTCACATTCTTGTATGCACAGTGCCCGTAGGACGCAAATCTGGCCTCCCGCACTGTATTAGTCCCCAGGTTGAACTCGAACTTGCCATTCTGATTGTCCTGTGCACGTGGCAATTGACCGGTCTGTCACTCCTGAGACACGCCCTCTGTAGCAAGCACACCTGAAGCACATTCTGACATTTCATCTCGGAATGCTACCAGTAGGTGGTAAATGTTATTTTTTTTCTATTTAAAGGTAATTCAAGCTAACATTGACCCACGCAACACCGCCAGGCACACCTTCGACCCTGTTGTGATCGCTCGTCGACTTCGGATATACCCCTACAGTGCCAAATCACAGCATATAATCTGTCTTCGTTTCGCCCTTAAAGGTTGCCAGTTTCGAGGTTCGTTTTGCCAGCATTCTACTTTTAATCTTGTCGAGTTGTTTTGTCTATCGGGTGTCTTTTCCACATGACTAGATCTTTAGTCGTTCATTGAAGTTTGGTGGAATATTCCAGATGCGAAGGTCATCCAGAAGTCTGTTGAACGCGGTCTTGTACACTAAATCCCATTCGTGGTTATTTACTAGACCTAAATGCAAGCAGTATGCCGGATTTTTGACCACTTGTATGGTCACACGTTTGCCTGGTTTGAGTTAAATCTGTCGCCCCGTAGCTCAATGTCGTTGGCAGCTGTCTAGCCCAAATGTTGCTTCATAGCTAGTAAATTTTACCAATTACGTGTGATGCTTTTGAGGGCCAAGTAGATTTGTAAATGTCCTTCTGTCCGACGGAGTTATTTTTTCCAGAAACAGCACAAATAATGTCACTGAGTGGAATTATTTACCTGAAGATCGCATTCTTACCCTTCAATTTGCCTTGTATTGAAAGACGAACCTCTGTTTTCCTTGATGACACGTCTCATTTGGTTTGCTTCCTTTTCATGCAATCCCGTTTATGTGATGTAACTAATCCATTGTTGACGTCGGCTCACCAAAGCACTTGGGTATAACAAAACATTAATGGTTTAACCCCGTCTTCAAAGTCATTATTCTGTCTAATGATCACGGGGGGGGGGTTGTGCCGCAGGCCATTATTCTCCCAGGGCACATAGGGACGTCACATGTATCGTTTTGCCGCTAGCCTCACTTCCCCCGTCAAAACAGCATTTGGTTACTTCTTCGTCAACTTCGCTACATAGGTCTCCGTGGAGAGCTCAGTTACAGTCGGTCAAGAGGCAAATGTCTAATCCTTCCTTAATTTTGTATTGGCCCCGCCGACTCCTTCTGAGGTACCATTCATCCGCCCTTGTTTTTAGATGGAATAACCGAGTACTCCGCTACTGAGGGTAGCCTCGGGCCTCTCGGGACGGACCGCCACCAACATATCGATTTTCGAGATCTAATCAATAACGCAAGCAAGTCTTTGGGACCAAGAGGAGCACCTGGTGGTCTTGGGAAACTTGTAGATAACCTGGCTCTCTTGGGCAATGTTAGTCAGGACGTTCACAGTAACCCCACCGGACACCACGTCGTTGGCTGGGAGCGAAGTTTTGGAACTCCCGTCCACATAAATTTCAAGTTTGATAAACGTAAGTCGGGCTTTTTTGAAACCGTCCCTTGTTTCTTTTATCTTGCAATAAAATCATTACCCTGACGGCATTACAAGTCAGTTGCAGACTATTTTGTGGAATACGCTGCGTCGGTCTCTCAGTTATCCGGGTAGTTGTTTAGTAACAAAGTTATATTCAAATGGTAGGGACTTGGATATTCATGTGGCTAATCCGAAGTATCACGGTAATAATATTGACTGTAGTGTGTACTCATTAGAGATTCGAGTGTATGTTGAGCTAGCTTTTATTAATTGGAACAGTAACTGCCATCAATAATCGATAAGGCCTTCTAATAACTCCGCACGGCTCAAACCTCACTCTATGTGCACCACTTCTCTCCCACGTAGCCCGTAATTTTTCTCGCCTTCACATCTTCACATTCAACTCGCCCCAACTACGAGTCGGACTCTTCAATCAGACGATAATCAATTTCATGAAGAATCGAGCCACTTCAACCGTAGACGAGACCAGACTGACCTACACACTCACGCCCGATAATGTTGACATTGAGGTGCGCGGTCAGTCCTGGCGGACAGCTGGCAACTTCAACCGCGTCACAGTCGTTCGTGACCCCACCTGGGATGGCGCCGTGGTCGTCAGCATCCCCCTCCAAGGGCACGTTGGAGAAGAGATATTACTCGAGTTATTCCACTCCGATGATTGGATGCTCATTTCGGAGGTTCAGTTTATTTCAGGTAATCCGCGTCTTCACCCGAAATGCCATGATTACGCCGGTAATTAAATCTCTGCACAATCCCTTGTTCCCACTAGATCCTCACTTTGACGTGCTACCACAGGAAGGTGCAGGCACAGGAGGGGGGAAGGTCAGGTTCCCCGACGAGTCAGAGGTCGATGGCGAACAGCGTCCAAAATTGTTTGAAGCTGTCCCAACTACCACAGCCACCACCTCTGGCCCCACCACCACCACCATGATTCTGATTGATCCCGGTAAGGACCCTATTCCGATATCCTTTCTGAAGATCCCAAGGACACGGCATAGCGTCAGCATTACTTAGGTGTTATGTCCTGGAGCATCAACAAACTCGTAATGCCGATCCAACTTTAACGTAAGGTTCAAGTATCAAAATACCAAGACCACGCAGTTTTCGGCCAGTAGAGCCCTTTCTTGGTTCATATTTTGGTCATCGGGCATCGCATCAGCACTTGCAAGTAGAGAAATTTGTCGCACATGTAGCAGCATTTGGATTAGACTTGATTTTTACGAGTTTTTGTATCACTGAAGCGTGTCGTATTCAAAATTCTGCATCAGGAACAATTGCCTCGTGTTGGTTCACAGTCAGAAGAACAAAGTGCTTAAGATGAGAATGCGCTCGTATTTTCAACTGTACGTTAGTGTTAATGTCGGCGGTTTTCTATTTAACGAGAACAATAGTCCGTTTGGTTGTGCAGCTGTCGGGAAGAACGCGTGAAATATAAACGTTCTGGTGCTTTTTCGGTCACTACAACCCATGACACCTTTTGCAAACAAACCGTTTTTGGATCTAATTTGATGCAGCCAGTAAAACTCCTCCTCCTCCCTCTCCCCAGGGAGAACTGTGTCAAAACCCTGCTCTTTATGCTATCTTCTGAGGCACCACCAACCACGCACCTAATCACGCTCAGGACCTCGCGCGATTGTTACACTGCGGCCATCTTCCCACACGGGAATTTGGGCTACGTGTGTGTGTGTGTGTTCATCCTCCTCACTGTACATGCATACTCACTTGCTGGTCAGAAATTAGCAGGCGTGTTGTTGAAGCACGAGGTACTTTATAAGCAAGGCGCGCCTCCACCGCTTTGCCTTCGTCGCTGAATGGCTCTTTGGGCTTTTTATCAGCAATCTTGTTTACTCTCCCCGGTTTTGTGTTCACTTTGCCCTCAACTCCTTGACTTTTTGTGACATCCGATACCGAATTGCCTTTAAGCCTAAGCCCAACCTTCACCCCCATAAGACTTTTCTTCTGCTAGAGCGAGTACCTCTGGAAGATGGAAGTTAAACCGAAGGTTGGTGTCAGATGTGGCGTCCGCTTAAATGTTTGGTTTCATCAGCAATCGGTTTTAAGGAAGGGTAGCGACCATTCTCTACTTTGTGTGGCTCTAACGTGTAGGCTTTAGCTCGAACAAGCACCTTCTGAATGTGCGGATGCCCCATACACTGCTAACGGTATCCCCAAGGCCGAAACTACTTGTCGACGTGGCTCAAATTTGTCAGGGGATCGCGCGAGCGCGAGCGCGAGCGCGAGCGGTTGTGTGGGCCAGTGCACACGCGCGTGATTGCGTCCCCCGTCCGTGCTGGTGACTGCGAGTCGTAGTCTGGCGCCGAACGACAAGCATGATTTATCGACTCGCCCCAGTGGGGGCTGTCGCCGTCGGTGTTTGGGCGTGCACGTTTATGCCTGCGCACTCCCACTCCTCCAGCACCCCGGTGTGAGCATTCTCGACACGTCACGTGGTCCGCCCGGGCCTCCTTAGTGGGACACGCTTTATCGATTTCACTCTGCTACCTAAAGCGGTCTTTCCCGCGCAGTAGCAAACCATGTTTAGAAAAAACGCAACCAGAAGTTTCTACTTTCCGCCCCTGTCAAGCCGAACCCAAGTACCTCCTTCTCCCCGTATGCCACATTGGTTCGCGTTAGATCGATAGCCGAACTGAGGCGCAGTATTTAATGCGTCTTCCTCAGTCACTGTTCAAAAGTTATCCAACAGAAACTTGTTTGTTACTGCACATCAAATTCAACCCCCTGTGTGTGCACACCTAAATCAGGTGGAAAAAAACTTGTTCTCAGATTAACGAAGTGAAGTACAACGCTTTTGGCAGACGAATTACTTCAGGTCCTGTAAACAAATGTCTAATGAACTTGAAATGGCCAAAGCAATGCAACTTCTATGGCCCTGTTCGGGCTTATCATGGACATTCAGTGTGCATTGTCGCCGGCAGGTAGTAGCTCCTGACATAAACCCGAAATTATCACAAGCGGGCCACGGCGCAATTAATTCACCACGTCCCCGAAACTATTTGCAGTCGCCTTCCATTCGACACAACATATGTCTACTTGCCAGGTGTGTGCATCTTCTACTACAAAGTTACAACAATAACGTGTGGATCACCGTGGTCACGGGCGTTGCTGTGAATGCGAAAAGTCATCTGTGACTGTCAATTCACTCGGGTTGTCTGAATCCGTTGCGCTGGTAATTTCAGTTGCGGAATTTACGACCGCAGCCTTTATCACTCGCTAGCATTTCATAGAGACCTTGTGGATCGACGTTGAGGCAACAAGTTTGCCTTGGTATCATTCAAGTGAGCCCCTAATGTGTGCGTCCCTTGACCAAATCCACCGTATCTATATTAATTAACTATTAGCGAAATGGGCAGTATTCCGGTTTGCAACAGGTACATTAGAGGAATCTCGCAGAGAACTCAGGTGATTCTGCGTTGTCATAAACGATTTGGATCTGTCAGCCCGAGAGAGTAATTCACTGTCCGTCCTGTTTGTGCTGTTAGCCTATGCAAAGCCATTCCTTTGAATTTCCCCTCGACGACCAAATTTTGGTGGATTCGAGGTGACTCACGTCCTCCCTTTTGATGCGTTCTGTTTTCGCACCTTCCCCTAACACTTCAAATGCATTACAGCAGATAATTGTGGTGTTGCCACCTTCCCTGCATATTGTTATGGGTGTTCCTCGGCTGTCAGTCTGCGTGTTTTGTAAACGCTCCAAGTGCCGACTAAAGCATTATGAAGGTGAACGCATGTAAGAGTAAATTCCTTCACCTGCAATATTAACCTCTTTCTAGGGTATTATCCAACGCCTCAAAAACACAGGAGGTTAACCATCGATAAACTCAAAAGGACTGCCTCTTATGCCCAATGTTAAACAGGATTGCATAATTATTAGTGCGCGAGATTGCTAAAAATAAATCCCAGAGGCAAGTTACAAGTTATGCACAACGCTTCTTTCTCTTCCTCCGCTCAAGCTCTACCTTCCTAAAGACCGAACCAAAAGTAATTTAGAGGCCCATTCACACCGGTCAGGTGGGTTACGTCATAACCGTTACTCACCCCCTCGATTGTTTTATGGCATCGTCCGACCCCCCTTTAAACCCGGACGTCTTGATCGGGCTTGTGGAGGTTGGTAGACCAGGTTTGGGTTCAATCTGTTTGCAGGGAGGGGGAGGTTGATTACTTTTATGGCCAATAAACGCCTAATGTCATTTGAGGCAATATTAGCACGTAAGTAAAATGACGGGAGGGGTGGATCTGGCAAGGATGGGGAACTATGGCCCGTACCACTCCCTCATATTACCCATTAAACGCATTTTGAATGCGTGTGTGCGCCTGATTTTGGACATCTGGAACATGCAAGTCATGGTCAGGGATCTGTGCTCTCGGGGTAGTTCGCACACACACACACACACACACACACACACTTTGATGTTTCATTCATATTTGCCAAAGTACATTTTAGTTTCCCACGAAGAGGTTAGTTACTCCAGTCGCCCTTAAAATGTTATTAAATCTACACACCTCCTACAAAACAACCAAACGTGAACGCATCTCCTGGGTGTTGTTTGGCACGAAGCTGGTGAATAACGTGCCCAAAACTTCGTTGGTGTTCTGCGATTGTGGTGGTGACGGAAGTCGTTGCAGGTCAACCGGCTCGGTCGTTTCACTGGGACGGCCTCAAGACGTGCACGCACACATACCCACACACATTCCCTAATGCCTACCTAAAGTACTTTCTCGGTACAGCCATAAAAACACAAAAATGGGGTAGATTGCTGAGGTTTGACCCAATTTTCCCTTTTTGCGGTGGGCCGCTGGGCCAAACGTTGCTACCCTAGTGAATGGAAGAAAGTTTTGCTTCTTTCTGCTGTGCGCCATGTTTCGCCGTGGGTTATTTGTACTTGTTAAATACATTCTCGCTTTCTAGTTATGTTTTATCAACAAGGGAATTATGCAGAAGAGAGTTTCGTCATCTTGTTGCCTTAATTTGCAGTTCCTTCCGTCGGCCATCGACACGACGACGGTGCCGCCTCCATGACAGCCACAGTGACCCAGCGACACGGTCTGGCCAGGGATCAGCTGAGAGCAAACAGTCGAGGCACTACTTTCATTATCGTGATTGTGGTGAGCCTTTTGCTCTCCATATTCTGCGTCGTGCTTGTTTTTTGCCTCTGCGTTCGGATGCAGCACTCGCGACAGCGCGACCAGTCGCTCAAGAAGATCGCCTCATCGCCAGACCAGACCGGGGTCAGGCCTTGCTCATTGGGCGGCGGCGGCGGCGGTGGTGGTGGCGGAGGAGGGGGAGGAGGACCAACAGGCTACCAGCAGACTGTCGGGGTGTCGTCTTGTAGCACCCACACCACAATGGCACCCACGGCCCCTTGTTCTCCCCCTACAGCCTTCCTATTTAGCCCAGCTCACAGCACCGGGTATGTGATTCCACCTCGACACGGCAGCTGACTTCATTTTTGGTCTCATGGCCAGACTACGATTAGGGGAAGCAACTGAGAGCCAAGAATTTTATGTGAAATGCCCCCAAGGCAACCTCTACAGCTCAAAGAAAACGTTTGACATCGGACTCAGTCAGTTGGGCGAACATTTATTTTGGAATAAATACGACTGAAGGCGCGTCCTGGGGCCAGAGTCTTGGTTACCTTTTGAGATCTTTTGCATGTTCATCCGTGATTCCTAGGTTAGAATGGCATAGGCTTCTTCCCAATACCTATTAATTGACTTTGTGTAGCAACATGCTAGGTTTGGTCAATTTCGGTCCCTGATAACCCAGGTTTCCAATCGCACAGGTATGTATTTAATTTGCGATCTAATACAAGTTGCCAGCCGACCCCATTGTTGTTTTCTCCCAGCAAGGCGTTTTACCGATCTGAAGCTCGACGGTACCTCGTTATAATCAGTCATCCGTTTTCTCATTGTTAATTAATCGTCGTTTATCACAGCTGGGGGTTCATGTTAATGGTTTGAGAGGTGTCCAGGGTTCGTTGTCAATTTGATCGTGTTCAGTCTTTTTTTGTTGCTAAAAACGCTGGCCTCTTTTAACTAATCAGCCAACCGTCTGCCTCTTGTGTGTTTCAGCACGGGTGCCATGTACGCTGCGGCTGCACCGCCTTCGCAACCGCTGCAGGTTCTGTCGTCTCCAGCCATGTTCGCGGGACCGGACGCTGGTCCTGCCGGGACCGCCTTCCACGGACTTCCGTCGCCAGGTAAGCACTCTCTCACATCATCATCACCACATTTCGCGTCTACTTTGACGCCTTTGCCACAGCACCACGAGTTCACACAAGTCACCTTTGTGTGCCATGCGTCTTCTGCACGAAGCCAATACCAAGGTCTTATGACAAGCTCTCTCCTGTCATCAAAAGTCAGGCATCAGTGAGCTGATTTCCTGTCTGCATACGCGTATTGTGTGACAATCAGGGTGAGAGGCATCCGTACTCCATTAGCTCGACTGCTGATTATTTCCTGAAGCAATGTGTCGAAGTGTCAAATGCTTTCACATGGTTTCCAAAGTACCAATTGCCTTCTGATGGTTTCAAACCTCACCTAATTCATAAAGACATACTCCCAAATCCGCTACCAGTGTTCGACTTGATTGTGAAAATGACTGAGGCTCCACGGATGTCTGGGTGTCACAAAAAAACCACCCATAAAAACGTCTCACAACCGAGTTGGTCCAGCCCAAGTGGAAATTCTGCACAGCACATTACTCAGTGGCGCCGCTGCTGTGACCCAACTGACAGTTGACGTGCGAATCAATGTCGAATCCACTCATGGGAACTTTCTCAAGCGATTCTTTCCTTGATCCCTCAACATCGGATCGTGTTGTTATTAGCAGGGACAAAAAGAACCCGATGTGCTTGCTTTTGTTACGTAGATGCGATCACTTAATCACTTACTTACCCTGACCCTATGATGACCTGAATTACATAATCCAGACAATTCGACAGTGTTTTCGCAGAACTGAAGATAGCGTCTCTTGCAGTCATCTTTATGGGAGGTGTTCTATCCGTAAATAACATATCTTGAGTTACATCACAAGCTGTCCGTGGTGACACTTCCTACACTTTCCGAGTTTAGTGCCTTTGCTAAAATTAGTCATTATAATTGAGTTTATTCTCTAAATTGGGGCATTTGAAGGTCTCCTGAGTTTGGCTCAGCAAATGGAACCCCACGGATTTTGTGACTGGTGAATCATTTGGAAAAAGTCGAGGGTCATCCCCAGGGAGAGAGTGGTGGGTTGTCGGCAAACCAGGTCACCTGGAGTCGAGTCACCTCTACTTCGACCCCCGAAGACAAATAAGACTCATTCCTTTGGGAGCAGAGGCTATGATTAACCACGTTGTGATGTGTTACTAATTCATTTTATTCATGAATGAAAAGGAGGGACTATACATCTCCACTGGTAACTGTTTTTCCCCTCCTGTGCTCATGGCACTCGAGTAACTGAAGTGGGGAGCTTTTCCTTCGCTGGTCCAAATGATGCATCATTCTAGTCCGGCTAATCGTGAGCAATTTCAACCCGAGGCAACGTGAACGGGAGTTAGGGAGATTTTTTCGTAGAGAACGTACTTTTATATCCTGCGACTTTGTGGTGGAAGTAGCTCGTCGTGTGACACCTTGTCTTCCGGTAACCACTGACCCCGTCAGACTTCAGCCGGGAAAATCATGAGCCTAAGATCAGTCATAGTGTACAGCCAAGGCTTTTGTTGGTGGACTTCTGTATACTTGTTGGGGCAAAAGGAGTTTGCGTTAGTACCTTGAAAAACGTCGTACTTGCCTCCTAATTAACGCCGACGCTGTATGATTAACGCGGCAACACCTCGAGTCATTGCTGTGCCTTCCCCCACAGAAGACACAGCCCGCGTTGGTTGTGCACTTTGTGCTGACGAATTGCGAGTTTTTTGAAGCCCTGCGAAATCACAGCACCACAAGGAGCATTTTGCATCGACAAAGTTTTCCTGTAGTCGAATGCAATGCTGCAAGGCCGTATTTTGAATGGCTGTACATTAATAGGATTTAAAACACATTGACCATTAACTGTTATTCTACCTACGCCGACTGGTCCACTTCGGTGGGTCTATCGACATACTGTTTTGTGCGCCTAACGGTGCGTTTGCTCGTCGTCGTTAAGAAGCCATAAGTGACCTGTAGTGTGGCCTTAGGAATTACAGGAACTAGAACTTAAGTGAACGAATTTTTTTTTCTTAAAGGTCATAACTTCGTTTCGATGACTGGGGCCGATCTTAGTACGCTTCCCGATTGTCAACGCTCCGTCGCTGCAATGCAGCAGCTTGCTTTGCAACAGCAGCAGCAGCAGTTTTATCCAATCGGGATGATCCACCCTGCCACCGGAGGCGACACCACCACGGACAGCGGCAGTCTCTACACCACGCCACCGGCGCTTTGTCCAATCGGCCACGCCCCACTTCAAGGCCACATGGAAAACCGCAGCGCACCTGCGTCTGCGTCCTGTTCGTCTGATGACGACGACGACGACGAGGCAGGAGGCTTGACTCACCCCCCTGTAGCCCCAGCAGAACGTAGCAGCGTTACCACGTCGGCGTCTGAGGGAGCTGCCACCAGAGCGAAACGCGCTTCGGTGTCCACAGGAGGCGGAGATGAGGAAGGCGAGGCTGAGAACTCGGCACTGCTCAGACCTGGAGTCGGCATAAGCGGGCGGCGAAAGAGACCCAAACACCGCAGACAACGGGCAACAACAATGACAACGCTGGGACAACGCAAAGAGATGGGGAACACAACGCCAGGGCTGCAAGAGTCGGTGCAGAGTAGGGCGGACAGTGGGGTCGGTAGTTCCCGGGCTGAAGCCACGCCAAAGACACAACAGTCAAATGTTTATCCAAACGGTGGAGCAACACGACTGCTGCAGCCGTTCGCCGCTCAACCATTTCCAAATCTTGCCGGCAGTGACATTCTAGGTAATTCTTAACACATTTGACCACTTAACTAGCAGCATGATCGGTCATGCTGATAATTCGTGAATCGTGTTTAGGCAGTGCTCAACACAGCATTTCAGGAAAGCGACAACTAGGAAAATCTCCCACTCGTCTCCTGCACAGTCAAGCAAAGGGAAAAAAACTAGTCAGTTGGCGATTACTCAGCACTTTTCAGTGTAGCGTAGAGCCGGAGACTCGTCAACCAACGTAGCGTGCTCTGTTATTAAAATTTGCCGACTTCTCACCGTGCAGCTGAAGGTTTCAGCATTGCTTAGTTGCTGGTGAACTGTAATTAAGGCAAACGGAATGTGGGTTGGGGTTGAATACGGAGTTTGATTACTTACATTTACTGACACACCTGAACTCACGCCTTGTTTGTGATGTTTGGATGTCATGACAACTGTGTACCGTTAGCCGTTGAATCAAGATCTGAACCAGGTTTAGTGGGCCTATAGCCAACCCCCCTCCACGACCCACCAGCTGCATTAAATGCGTGTTTGCTGTTAGTCTGAATTACTAACACCTTTGCTTGTCGTAGACTGAAGTAGGTTTGCTTCTGTTGAAACCTCGGTAGGAACTCTTGGTTGTTTAAAAACTTACTCGTGGTGAGGAGGGGTTGATGTGTGTTTAATAGGCAAGGCTGTAACTCGGACGCCCACTTTACCTCATCCAGGCACGGAGTATGCCAGCACGTCCCTATTCGGCTCATCAACTGCCTCGAATAATGGCATGTCAACCATGAAAAAGGGTTCCTCTCCTTTGATTGGTGCTAACGGACCACAGTACCCCTTTTTGGCTGCAGCTCAATTTGCCGATCAAAACGGGAGCCAATCTCCAGCCGCCATGAGTGGAGCCACCACGGCAACCCCATTTCCCAGTGGTTCCTACCACCTTTACCAGCCCATCCTGGTGCCCGCCCAACAGGCCCAATTATTCCAAAGCGCAGCCGGCTTCGGTGACTCCCAACTGGGGAGTCTGGTTCAACCTGCGCCCTTCCTCTCGCAGGGTGTCCTCCACACTGCCGTCCCCCCCACGGTGAGTCAAAGGTTGCCCCTCATCGTAGCCGCATTTCAAGGCAACCTTGATACCTCTGTGTCTTTCATCAGGTAGAGGTGGATTGAAGCCCGGGGTGAGCGTTTTCGAAATATCTTAAAACCAGGCATAGTTGTGACGTAGTTTGTAAGTCCATTGTTAGTTGTCAGCTTTCCCCCTCAAGTTAAATCACTTTCGACCAATTACAAGTTAGCAAAACGCACCAGAGTACTGTTTAGGAACGGCGTGACTGGGCACCACTGTAAAAAATGCCTTGAATCATTTCTCCGAAGCGTTGGCGATCACAGGCCTCGTCGCCACAGTAAAGCGATTTTTCAGTCGCACAGGCGTCCTTGTCAAAGCGAGCCTAAATTTCTAACAGTGGGTTTCAGGAAGCAGGAATGTTCAGACCGGGTGCCTCCGACGTGTCACGTTCGATGTCTTAAGTAATTTTCGATTCAGTTTACCGATTTTAGAGGTGGTGCATCAAGTGTGTGCGCGTACCTTAGTCTGTGCCGAATTGACATGAATCGTGCAAATGGCGTACTTTCCAAGGCTACACCACAAGTTGAGAAGTAAACTTGGTTGTGGCTGTGTAACCCTTGGTACTCTTCACCTCGTTTATTATCAGCTGTTGTCGACATCACAGGTTAAATAATTTGAGCATAAAATCTGACGCCATGGTGACATTGTGTTTTGCTGTTACTCTTCTAAGGCGTGAAGGGAATGAGTGCGTTTTGTGGATTTAAGGCTCGCAAAAGTGAGCCCATTCTCTGTACAGTCATCAAGGTACCAGCTAAGTTGTTAAAAGGGGACCTGAAGGTAACGGTAGCTGTATTTATTAATTTTTTTCCTTTACCCATTAGCTGGAATTTAGACGCGCTTTTAGTTTTATTCAAGGGTACGTGCCTTTTACAGCGGCTTCTTTTCCCTTCCTCTCTACTTGCGCAACTCTCTTTCAGTTGTACCAACATGATGCATTATCTTGCCCGCCCTGATTACGCGACCATTTTTCCGTTTTTTCCCCAGCAGACTTGTATTATCACAGCCAATCTAATTAAGTCTCTAACCAAATGTTAGAAGGAGGATAGGTGGAGTAGTGGTTGCCTTTACGAAGCAGTGGGTGTGCCTGCTGGTTTTGGTGGAGACCCAATGGGCAGTGATTACACATTATCGAAGCATTGCAATTGGCTGACCTTAAAATAACAACGAAGGCAAGGAATTACGCATCAGATGCCGTTAACGCTCCTTTTGGTGCGCAAAAGAAAGTTTTAACATAAAAACGTTTTCAAGCATAAATTGAACTGGACCAACCACAAAGGCCTGCAGTTATTTGTATCGACACAGATGATAGTTTGAACGAGGAACTGTCATTGAGTGAAGAGAGATTCCCGACCCCAAGCCGAGGGCGCAGAGCTGTGTCTGTCCCACATGCACAAACCTACGATGAAGAATGAGACACGGCATTGGCACACAAAACCACGTAGCTCGACTCCTCAATGCATCGAGGACGCATGTGTGAAAGCGCGCGAACCTGGTCAATTTCGTGGCCATGATAGCCGGGCGAATGGGGCGGTTGGCAAGATTCCTCGAGAGTGAACTCACAAGTAGGCGACACAAAGTGGTCTTCTTCTGTGCGATGAGAAGACGAGGATCCGCTGGTGCACCAGCTTGTCACCCAAAATACCCACTGCACGATGCGAAAGTCTCACACTGGTAGTGTGAGCTACATAAACGACCCCCGCCTCTTTCTCAGTTACTGTTATGGGTCGTCATCAAGCTTGAGTGGTTGGTAGCGCATGCGCCGTCGGAGAGTGGTGGCGTCGCGCACGATTTGGTCCGCGTCGGCTAATTGGGGAGCAACGATGAGGCGCGGTTATTATGCAGCGTCTTCAAGACTGTTATGTGTAGAACTGCGCTCTTGCAGCAGGCCAACACAGAAGGTGCACTAACCGAAGGTCAAGCCATGGATGATCACCCAAGAG